GATCCCTCACTGCTCAATGGCCCTGAGTGCAGAGTAGATCTATAGGACAAAATTTGCAGCTCTCCACGGGCAATTGGTGACGTCTCCATATGAGTGAAAAATTCTCGAGAGGGACTTTAAACAATATACAATCAATTAATAAATCATGGTACAGAGATTATTTTGCATAAATATTACAACAAATAGAAATTAATTATCCCCGGCGCAGTGTTGAACTTTTCACTTTTCATTAAGGCATATTTTTCTATTTAAAGACGCCACATGATGACGTCGTGCCGGTGTAACGTTGAATTTTGACCCGGGTTGAAAATTGACTAGGGGGCAAATTTCAACGTTGAAAAGTGAGACCAAAGGTGTTGAATTTAGACCCTAGTCCGTTGAAAACTGAGCCGGGTCGTGGAATTTTGATCATGAAACCGGTTCTAAATTCAACAGCATAAAAACACATATTAATTACTTGGTTTTCACAACTGTGATTTACTTGTAATCCATAGGCGTCGGAAACGGGGGGGGGGGGGGGGGGGCTAGGGATGTCTAACCCCCCCCCCCCCCCCACACACACACACACATACATTTTTTTGGAAAGATAGACATAATATAGGCATTGAACAAAGTGAAAATGGTTTAGCATCTCCCTTTTCAAGTTAAAAGTGGGAGGCTTAACCAATTTCACAGGGTTTCAACAGGCATATTACAGTGTAGTCAAAGAAAGAAAAGTAAGTGGTAGTGCTTGAAGAAAAAAGAAGTTGGATCCTCCTCCACTCCACCCCACCCCCTTACCAAAAAAATAGGATTTTCGGGTTTGGACCACTTGTACTAGTTTGGACAATGAACATTTCTTCTTTTTTTTGTAAGCTGTCAGTTTTTTTTATATTATTTTTTTTTCTTTTTCAATTTCCCACCGTGCACATTCAGTGCTTCCGACACCAATGCAATCAATTCAGCCTTAATTCAGTAATTCCATTATATTCGTAGAATAAACATGAACAAAAATTTCTTAGATTTCAAAGTTACATGTAGCTTAAAATCGCAATATATTTTTATTTTGTATTTTTGTCTGGGCCGTTTTCTTCATTTTTGTATTTTTTTCTAATCCAAAAAATGTTTGCCTTAGACACATAACCCTGACTTTCAGCGTTATTTAATTTCTGTAACAAAGTAGCCAAAATATAATTTTTGATCCCCCCTCCAAACCGGGAAAAAGATAGTTTATGAGGAATTTCTGAAGCGGCCCTTCCATCCAATTTACGAAACAGGGTTTGGTTTTCAACATTGGCTAGTTTCACTTTCCCCTTTTATTTGCTTGTTTGTATGTTTCGTTTTTTTTAATCTATTTTGTTTATGATTTTTTGTCACAATATTTAAGAGGGTTTTGACACCATTCATCCGCCTCCGAGAAAACTCTAACCCCCCCCCCCCCTCTCCTCTCTGTTTCTTTGAAGAGGAATGTGCTTTTTAGTTGGTTAGAACAAAAGAAGTTGCAGGGATGGCGTTTCATTTTTATTGTTGATATCAAAGATGGTGGGAAGTGTAGATTCTAGTCCATCCCAGACGCTAACTCTAGTTCTCATTCTCAAGGTAATGCTCCGAAAACGATCGATTTTTAGGCCGAGAAAGGTTACTGACAGATAAGTTTGTTACAGGGATTTCACCAGCCTTGTTTAAAGTCAGCATTACTTTCATGTTATACTCACTATATATATCTTTTCACAAATATAACATATCATTGGATTCATTTTGTCTATAAGGAATGTTCTGTCCACCTGATCAATATATATATGGAGCTTATTTTCTAGACACCAGATTTCCAAGATTTTTGTTTTATGCCTCTATTTTTATAGGTTTGAAGATATTTATGGATGCTATGGATTTTAGAAATTATTGTCAAAAAATAAATTGTCACGGTTGAAGATAACTGAAATCGTGTACAGATCAAAATATACATATATACAAGGGATGATAGATTTATTTCTCTTATTCTTGAAAACGGAAAAAAATGAAATCGAAATATAAATATAGAGATACTGATAAATTCCGTAAAACAACTTCTCAATTTAAAAAAAATTGTTCAAATCTGAGGCGGGGTCAATATTCAACAGGGACAATTTTCAACATGTTGAGGTCATCGGGGATAAGAAAAAAATCAAGCCGTTGAAAAATGACCCCAGGTATAAATTCAACGACTTTTGGTCTCATTTTTCAACGGAGAAAAAACACCCCAGGTTCAATGTTCAACGTTGAAAAATGAACCCCGGCTCAATTTTCAACTTGGGTCAATATTCAACGTTACACCGGAGTGTAGTGTAAGTCCCGTTGAAGTCTATAGAATGGAAAATGATAGCAAAAGTTTTATCCATGACTTTTTCGATTTATCAGTGTTACGTATTACGAAAAAAAGAATTCTGATTTGTGTGCTGCCTTTACATACTTGCGTTTTCTTAGATGAACCTATTGAAGAGAAACTCTGTTCAATTCTGTCTGAACTTATTTGGGGACTAGTCTCAGAGGTCATAGTGCGACTGAAACACTCGGAGATGATATGAGCCGTTCCAAGCAAAAACCCCCTTATGTAATCTGACAGAACTTTACGTCACAATAGAAAAAGCGACGTCATTGTTTTGCAACAAAAACTGCGATCAAAATATATCGCGCACTGACTGCGTTCCAACTACCTGTTTTTTTTTACGTCACAGAATTATCTCCGTTGTGCTTTCTGCATATTTTCTTTCATGACCTTTGTCTATTTCATAACATATCTGACTCTGATTCTTGTCAAACTACTTGTGCATTACACATTAAAACGACCTAAGAGTGTTCAGATTAAATACATACACTTCGACGATCATTCTGTTCCATGTACAATGTAAGTTTTCAGTTATGCAGCTGTTTTTTAAATTTCAGATTTACGACTCTTTCTTATTCAACAACCACAAAAAAAAATAATTACATGCAATGATGAAATTGAGTGTAAAATATTTTTAAAAAGGAAGCAAGAGTAGTTTGAAATTTGTTTTTTTAATCCGAAGTCTTGGCGAAAATTAATTGGACTTCATCACATGTCAAGAAAACTGCACAGGAATTAACACCAATCAAAAGTGAATGACAGAATTGTTAAACCACACCAATGCCAGATCTAAATCCGGGGTATTTTTTTATTTATAGTAGACCCAGAACCTCTTGGAAGAAAAGTGACATTCGTTCAACTAACAAAGCTACATTAATTGAAAAGACGTATATCCGACGTTATGTTTTGAAAAGATTGATAACTTGTTAATACTATTGTAATACCCCCCACCCTCCCACCACCAAAAACATTATAAGAATATATGTAATAATGCATATATAGAAATAAATACATACATGTATATCTTTTTACAAAATTTTGGAAGTTCTTAAAAGTACCGTATTTGACATGCACACCTACATTATTTATCTAGTTGCTTGTCAAGTTATTCTATCCCCCCCCCTGGGAATCATTGCATTCTAATGTTAACAGTGAAAATTTACATTCAGAAAAAAATGCGGAGAGGGGTCCCCATGCAATATTTGTTCACCTGATTGTAAATCGAGTGCAAAAAGAAAATATATATGTTTCCAAAATATTTTAATCAGTTTGGATTTTCCCGATCTATTTTTTTGTGTAACGTAGCAAGAAGTAACGTTCGCAATTTTCACCAGGAAGATCACATGCAGGTGAACATAACCTGATTTTTTCCCCACAATGCTAGATCTTGGAAAATCAGAGAGCTAGGAGTATTTATCATATTATAAACACTTTTGTCGAATGATTTGAAAAATGTTCTGACATGTTTTTTTAAACTTATGTGCATGGGAAAATATTGGAGCTTTATCATTTTTAGTGGACCTGTACCAAGACAACTCTTTGACATTGTAGATGCAAATGTGACAAAAATAAAATGAGAAATAATAGTGAAGTTTATTTTATCAATATATTGAAATTCCATCAGGAGACAATAAAATGATGGAAATCATTGTATAAAAATGCAATTTTTAATTTGCTGTTCAAATAATTATCCTTAAACAACGTTTGCAATGATACAGAATTTCAGTTTAAAGTGCTTAATGAAAGATACAAACAAATCATTAAATGAATGATGTTGACACCACAAAGTATACATAATTATGTTTGTCTGAAAAGCTCCTAAATTTTTGCATGTCATTTAGATAGGCCTATATCTCACTACGTTCCATGGCTTTCCATGTTTTTGAGCGGTCACCCGTCCAATGGTTAAACAGGCTCGCCGTTGCTTAACTTGCCTGAAATAGAGAGAGACTCTACCGCATCACTAGAAAAGCTAGCTTATAGCTCACTAGCGAGGCAGTTTAAGTTCCCTATATGTCAAACACAAAAAGTCCGATATATCTTGTATAAAAAAGGTTTCTATATAACTTCGGAAATATCTTGTATAAACAAAGGTTCTAGATAACATGAAACTTCAGATGACCCTTTCTCAATGTTTAAATTTAAATACTAGTAGATTGATCGTTTGTATATTGTTAAACGTCCATCTCGAGAATTTTTAACTCTTATTGAGACGCCATCACTTGCCGATTGAGAGCTGCAAATATTGTCCTATAACCGGCACTCAGGGCCTTTTATCTTGTTTGAACATATATTGTATATGTATGTTTAAAAGATCTTCTTTTGGTTTGGTGTGAAGAATGATAACTTTAACAGGAGGCATCACCGCAGCCCGTTCGTGTAATGAATGCAGTTTTACTCGAAATTTATTCGTCTCAGATGTAAAAAAAAAAAAAGTGATAAAACAACAATATTAGAAAGTTCACTGGGAAATGAACTTAGTTGGTAAACCTACTGAGAAGCACTTCGGGCTTCACAGGGTTTGATCACGTGATCTAAGTTCATTTCCCAGAGAACTTTTATTGTTGTTTATTGTTGTTTATTTCTTAGCAAATACGATTACATGTCGGGTTTTCTGTCAGCATTATCTTATTTCGTAGCTTAAAATATTACATACCTTATAATGTAGAGACAAGTCAATAATGCTGTCAAAAAGAAAACACCACCCAGTGTAATTAAGGCCAAAGAACCCTCTGAAATTCCTGTCAAAATAGAAAATTTTAACTCTATTATCGCATTCTTAAGTCATAATATTTCTTAATTTTCAAATAATTTCAGAGAAAATAAATTTGATATCAAAAAGGCATTCAATAATCCCAACGTCAATAAATTTGGGAAATTTTCTTAAAATATTCAACGTGTTTGCCATGTCAATATTCATTTCATTCACTTCTCTTAAACTTTTCCCCATTGTATTTATTTTGGCTTGGTACTGGGTAACAACAGTACTGTATTACAGGGTTATTTTCGACCTCTCACACTGGCAAACAATTTGGTCCCGTATTAAATTCGTTCAGTCATAGAATTAATTGAACATTACTCTGTATTCTTTGAAATTGCCCCGTTTTAATTTCGCCCAAGTAAGGGTTAAGCATAAGGGACGACAATCAAACTGAGGTGATCATTTCCCTCTATACATGTATGCTCAGCTCAAAATTTAACTATTTCCAGATATATTTTTTGTGTATCCAGGTGACTTCAATGCATAAATCGATATGTGTTATATCGATAGTTTTTATAGTTGGTTTACATTTTAGTAATAAAGTTCATCATACAGAAAAGACGATCAAATCATGTCGCTAATAACGATTATTACATGTAGGGTCAACTTACAATTTAAAATTATTGTTTTTTTTATTTGCATTTTCGCCTAAAAGTTCCTGAAATTATACCTACGATGCATGATGTGTCAAGTGAAATTAAATGTTTTATTTTGTGAGATTTAATATGATTGAACTTACATTAAAAAGATCAAAAACATTCTGTAGTTATCATAATAATAATGTTGCAAAAAATATTAATGTTGTGCCTAATAATTCGTCCTTGAAGAACTATTAATCCTCAGCAGATTTTGTACGCAGATTGTTTTTGTTTTTAATATTTAGTGGGGTACGTACTTGATGAACTTTCCTCATGAAAACATTTCCCTGTCGTAGCATTACATCTGTCGCACTTGCATTTCTCTTGACATTTAAGGCCATAATATCCTTTAGGACACGGTTTGCTGCATTCTAATCCAAATGATCCTATGCATGCTTAATGAAAGGGAAACAATGATCGTTTCATTTTTATACATATATGGAATAAGAAAATACATGACATTAAATGAGATTATAAAGGAATAGGTCGATAGATTCAAACGTTCTTGGTAATGAATATACCTGGTCTGTATAAGCTAAAGATACTCTATTCATGTGTGAGAGACCCAAGTTTGTCACTTTTAATAAATATACTTTAACAACGTATTGAATGTAGGTTTCATGTTAAAAATAAAACTTACGGTAACATTTTCCTCCAATCGTTCTGTGCGAGGTACAACATTGCAAATTCCTTATTTAAAAAATTGTACTATTTTACTTAATCGAAAATGATAGGAAGTTATCTTAAAACCATCCAGAAGAAACATTAAAATCGCTACACTTCGGTTCGATAGGCATTATCCTTAACTGTCTTGCCCTATGCACCAAAGAAATTACGATCATTATAACTGTGGACCAATCCATTGTCTCTTACGCTAATTATAATGTGTATAAACAATTAACTTCGTGAATAAGTTTGTCCTTTTAAATAAATATTTATATAAATGTGCAATTTACATTATGTAAGACTGCACCAAACAGATCTAAATAACAGGATAACTGTGATATAGACCAGGAAACTGATATCTTATTCCATTTTGAAAGAAAGTATGTACTTTCAAAATTGAACGTTATCAAAAAAGTAAAAGTTCTTCCCATTCAAATTAGACTAAACCCTTTTCCATCCACGTGTTCAATGCATTTAGTACATCCTTATTTCGACAAATCAAAACAATTTATAGGATACAAAAAAAATATTTTTAAGGTTTTTGAAAATAATTTATAAATATTGATAATGTGTTTCTGTCTTTGCTAGAGTTTTGCTCTCGCAATATCCGTCGCCATCTTTATACATGTATATCATTGTATATGGTCAGAAAAGTAAATATCTAAAGGCAGAACCATTGGAATCATTTACATCATGTAGCAGGAAATTTTAGGTGTCCCTTTAAAGGTACCATGGGTCATAACTTTCTTTCTGGACGCGCCCCGTGGGGATCCGGGTAAGAATAGGCCCTCAGTACCTCCTTGCTTGTCGTAAAAGGCGACTAAATGAGGCGGTCCTTCGGATGAGACCGTATAAACCGAGACTCCGTGTTACAGCAGGTGTGGCACGATAAAGATCCCTCCCTGCTCAAAGGCTGTAAGTGCCGAGCATAGGCCTAAATTTGCAGCACTTCACCGGCAATGGTGACGTCTCCATATCAGTGTAATATTCTGGAGAGGGACGTTAAACAGTATACAATCAATCAATCTTTCTGGACGCCAGTTACTTAACATACTGGAAATTTCTATACGATTTTAATTTACCTTTACTCCTCCATCCTCCTTTTATTAGGGATAAAAACATTTTCGATTAGTTTCTGTATTTGAATTTTCAGGTGTGTTGAAAATTATATAAGCACTTACATCATTAATTCGATTAAAAGGAAATTATTCTTCAATATTTATTCAAAATATATATGGTTGAATAATAAAAAAAAATTCATTATTGTATATCAAATTATAAAATGATAATAAGTTTTCTTTACCTAACCTAACTTAAAATAATATGTGATCTACAACATAATATGCAATCTCATCATGGGAAAGTGGTGGCAAAGAGTAACATGTAACATCACGTTTAGTTTCTGTTTTATGATTGATTGATTGATTAATTGTATGTTGCTTTACAACCTATTCGAGATTTTTTTCACTCATGTTAAGACGTCACAATATTACGGTGAAGGGTTTCAAACTTTGGCCTCTAATCGGCACAAAGGGCAATTTAGCAATGAGGGATCTTTATCATGCCATGGCCTGCCGTGACATGGGGCCTCGGATTTTAAGATCTCATCCGAAGGACTCGCGACTTTCTTTTAAAGTGCCAAGCGCATGGCGAAGGAATTGTTGTTACTCATATTTTATCGAATCAGGTCAGTCGTGGCCGAGATTCTAACTCAAACGACCTTCCGATCACGGAGCGAGAGCTCTACTGAATGAGCTACCTTGAAAGGTTTCTTTGTTATGTATTGATATGTATAAGATAAAGGGCTCCGAAAGTTGAAGGACATGAAAGTAAAACACATTGCACAAAACTTTAGTGTTGGAATATGCATGGAATTATGCCTTACTTGGAAATCTGGGCGAATCAAACTTTATCAATAGTGGATAAAATGCATTTTTCACAGTTTTTCGAAAAGCTTCCAAATAAACGATAAAGTACCAAGGGTTTATATAAATAAACAGATATAGTATGAACAATGGGTAGAACACAAATTTGCTCTAGATTCGAGTTGTAAGGAGTTGATCCTTACGAATCCGTTCGGATGAGACCGTATAAACGAGGAAAACGTGTTTATTTCTTTTAAGAACATGGATAATTAATTGATTGTTTGATGGTCCTTTGTAGTTATATGAAATGTATATTACTTATACATATTTTGCAGTGCCTGATTTTATTTGTAAGTGTATGCTAATGTAGTACATATAACCTTGTATGAAATTACAAAATGAAACAAATTTACTGATACATGTATACTATTTAAAAAACACTTAAAACATTCTAACAAAACATAGAACTCTTTGAATTTATAAAGTTCAGAATTAAATATTCAAAAATTAAATAAAGATGTAAAGAAGAAAACTAATTTTTGAGCCCCCTACCCCAGTCAATTTTGCACTAATTTATGACTTGTAAAGATTGTCTTCTTTTGTCTGTAAGTCCTTCGGTATACTCAATTACGGAGAGGTCGGTCTAGATTTGAAATATGGCATGCACTTTAAATTTAATATATTTATAACTAAGATCTGTCATGTACAGATTTTTCTAACATATACATGCACTTATTTTAATTTATCTAAACATGATTGATAAAACTCTCTATCAGGAAAGTATTAAATATCGTTATCTATGTAAATGGTCTGATATCTTCTTTGTGTCATTGTGCCATTAATGCATTCCACTGTTGTTGCATTACATCTCTTGCATTAATATTTTTCCTGGCATTTTACTCCATAGTATCCTTCAGAATTTTGCTTACTACATCTCATGCCAAATGAACCTACCCATGCTATATTAAATTAAGAAAAACTTAATGAAAAAGGGGTTTGTTTTTTTTTTGTAACGTCAAAATCGTTGATAAAATTCATCGGATTACTTCACTTATTTTCTGTTAAGGAAATTAAATTATTTATATTATGAAAAAATATAAATTTTATTATTTGAAATAATTGATAAGTTTAAATTCGAAAGTTCTTGTGTGGATTCAAAAAAATATTAAAGTTAGGAAGATGGCTTTAGAAATTATATTATTGAAACAAGCTTTAATTTTTTTTATTATTGCACATACTCTATAGATAACACGGGAAATCGTTAATATGCATGATTTCCTGAACGGCATTTCTCTCAAAATTACACTTTAAGAGTACTCGGATAATGAAATGTTAAAGTATCAAAATGATAGATCGAAAACGAGTTTGATCATTGAGTTAATGCAATGTTTCCAATCATTTATATAACATCTCCTTGTCATGTAATAAATTATCCTCTTTGAAACTAATTATTTCCTTTTTTTGAAATTTCATCACAAAAACTTTAAATTACCTTTTACCTTAAATGGATTTCAAGGAAAATAAAGAATTAATCGCTCAAATAAATTACAGTTTATCGATATCAGACATTTTTTTTTTTAAAAAAGTCGAATTTTCCTTCATTTCATTTCTGAACATGGACATGCGTGTTCATAATTTCTTTGTTTTCTTTGTAATGTTAGTGAATACTAAAAAAAATCAAGACTATTTAATAAAAAGAATTTGAAGATGCAGACATCCATTGTTATTATTGAATTTCATATTACTTTTGAATCCAATCATTAAATAAAATTTTAAAAAATTAAGCCATCACATGTTTTACAAAAATGTATGCATATCAATCCTTTTTTTCACTGAAACATAAACCATCTTCAAAAAATGCTAAAGCTTATCTGTAATGCAAGAAATACACGAACATATCAAACTCTACATAACATAAGAAGCGAAATACTAAAACTGTTTGTCAATCTTTCCCTAACATATGTAGAGTTTTTAAACGGGATAGTTACATGTAAAACATGAGCATATAATTTTAACAGTATGTCACTGCGATTAATACTGTAAAACGATGGGACGTAAAGCAAGTTCGGAGGTAGCAAAACATCGTCATACAATTGAAAATCAACTTGAAATGAAGCACAATAAAAAGACTGTAGCCTTGCAGTGCAATTTTTCAAACACTTTTTTCCATACATAAAAAACAAACTTATTTAGCAAATTATGCTATCAGTTAATTGTTGTCGGATAATTTTCTAAGAAGGTTCAAAAATAAACACTAAACACATAAAAATACCTTACGAGAGAATAAAATAACTGTAAATAGTCATTATATAGCAATCCTTTTTTACCAGTAAAAGATATCTTAATTTAATCATGGAGTTCCATATCTTTCTCTTTTCACACACATTTTTGCGTTTTTTTTTTGTGACTTTTGGAATGACAGATTTAAAAAAAAATTATTCAGATTTTAAGTTTGATTTGGCTCAATAGTTCGAATAAAAATATATACATGCATTAATTAATTCATATTCCAGATTTGACATTTTTTTTAGTTTAAAATACTTTCATCCTTTGATTTATTTATTGCCAAAAATGTTGCTGTGGTATTATATGCTTCTCATAAATACACACTCAGACGGGGATATTTAAGGAATAACTGTCTCATTTTTCGATTTCATGATGTGATCAATCGATTGGCTTGCGTCATAATTTCCATAAAACGCTGAAGGCGTTTATGCAAAAGATTTTCCCGCAAGCCAATCAATTGATCATCGATATGAAATTGAAAAATCTGACAGTTATTCGTTATATTTACATGGTATTGATTCCGCTAATCCACGTGCTAGAAGCCCCGCTTCTCTGCTCTATTTGTTCCTCCCTGCACG